GCTCTATTATCGCTTTGTTGATACTACAAACGCAATTGCATAAACAATGTTAGCTTTGATCTATATAAGAACAGTAGGAACGTTATACTGTAGCTGAGAGCGAAGACACTGAGCTTATTTTCACTCGTCCACATCCACATTCCGAACTAGGTACGTCACTTGTACTGAGATAAACTTGCTAGACAGCAACTCCAATGTTGCCAAGTGTCTTCATCCACCAGATTGCATTCAGGGGTGTCCAAAACGTATGAATTCTCGCAGAGAAGGAAAAAAATTGGCAAATTTCTTTTTGGAGTCAGTGCAAAAATTTTAACATGTTTTATACAATCTGTAAATTACAATATCTGATTCTATATTCTTTCGAGAAAAAAAAACAGCGTTTATTTCGTTCATTTATCACAGAAATTGCAGAAATAGGAGCAAATTTAGTAAGTGACTACAGAATTTACGGATTTCTAATAGCGGCCCTTTAAATAATTCCGTACGGCTGCCCCAACCGGAATTTAAATGCCCGTAGGATAAGCGTTAATTTCAGTGATCCTAAGTCAATAATATCAATGTTAAATTTCTTCCTTTTAAGATTCTCCTCAGGTCAGTGTTCAGGTTCACTCTCTCAGAGAAGCCTTAAATTGGGATTTCACTGTATGTTTAGTCACTATATATATTGTAACGTGCTTTGCTAATGAAGACGCCGTTCAGATTGTTAATTGGTTTATTTAACAACGTACAAGTCATAACTACAAATACTTATAACACTCTTGCGGGTATATAGACAATTTACAAACCCTAGTCACAAATCTCTTCACACTATCTTCAATATAACATGCGTTCTATTCTTCTTCCCGCTACTGCTTCTATGTTTCAACTGACTTATGACATCATTTTCACGTTCACAATTCACTCACTACAATTGAAACCGGTGGCTGCTACTTTTTAACTCATACTGAATACTAGTAACTCAATGCTCACTACTCAATCCTCCTGAATAGTGTTCGCTCCTTCTTATTTAGGCTCAGCACAGACAACATAGAGAACACATTGCTGCTTGGCAACAGATATCAGGTATTGTTGTCAGGTGTTTCACATTGCCTAGCAGTAGTCACTGCATGGACTGACCTGTTGTGTGATGTCACAGCCTAGCGGGGAGGGGTGTTTACCGAGCATTGTGTAATGATGGGAGGATTGGGGGTACATGACATCACTCGTGGAAACACAGAGTTCACGTGTCCCCTACTTCCTGTTGCGCCATCCACATTACACTATATATCTATAAAATGCTCCTGCAACCTCTGCACCCAGGAACCTTTGAGGCAAATTGCACAGACATAAGGACGACCTTCTTTCTGTGTGTTTCATACTGAAAGTAAATACATATGGGAGGGTTTTTGGTTATCTGACCAGCCATCCACCTTCCTGAAGCTACCAAATGGATGTCTGTGAAATTTATAACTGGTACATCAAAAGCTGTGAAACATATGTAAGTTGGTGCTTATCTCTCCAGTAAAACCTCCTCCTTCACATGAAGCCCTGATGTGATTTTGTAAATTTTTGTAGTGGCTTGCCATACAGAAAATTGGTGTATAACATATAGATCTCATTAAGATTTAAAATTTAATTTTAAAACATTTTTATATATGATGACTATTTAAAGAAATATGAAGAAAAGTGATTTCTGTCTGTATCAAGGCAATAAAACCACCAAAACACAATATTACAAAAGTTCATCCTACTTGTTTTGGCAACATATTTGCCAGGTGCCTCTTTATAGCAAGGTAGGCATGAGAAGTTAAGTAAACCATTATTATAATATATTTAAAGTATATGTTTCTGAAAGCATGAACAATTAACTTTGTACTTGTTTCTTCATTCTTTGTATACATCAAACCTTCTTGTTTGGTGTTGTGTATCAGTGCTTCTGATTGTTGTAGCTTTGTATGAAGGTGTACCTTGGTTAACTATTCTTATTTAAGATCCATTTATTTCATAATGTTTGTTAGCACTGTGTTGCCTGGTGTCAAACAACCTGAAGGTGGCAGATGTATTTTGCAGGGTTAATTTAATTTTATTATTGAAAGTTAATGTAATTCTGTATTTGGAAGTTGTATTACCTTTAAATACAGTAAACAAAACAGTGATATTGCCATCAGATATTAAAATAACTGTTTACTTGATATCTTTTAACACTGTCTTTGCATCTGTAATAATTGAATATCAAAGCTAATGAGGAATCCAAAATTGTAAAGAATGCATTGGAGTTATTATTTTTACTTTTGCTTAATTTTCTTTCAGTATCAGATTATCAGTACCCTTTTAATAATTGTCATATGTTGTTCTTCCCTAAAGATTCTGCCTTATTGAAGAAATGCTTTAAAACTGTGAAGAAGAAGATCCGATCTCGCAAGATTAGTACAGGGGAAGGAGGCAGCAACAAAGTAGCAAATTCACGAACCTGCAATGAATCATTGGGCTCCAGTAACTCCTGGGGTGATGAGATGCCTGAAGATCACCAAGAATTAGATATGAATGAACTGACTGAGAAGCAAGGAAAGAACCAGGGTATAAACCAGTTGGAGGAGGACATCACTTTGTCTCTAAGTAACCTGATGCTTTCTAAAAGTCCTGATACAAACCCTCCTCCCACTCCTCCAAAAACTGAATCTCCATGGGTCAAGATTAGACACAATTATGACAGACAACAACGGATTGTACAGACTCGACTGAGGGTTGTTTCAGCTGCTAAAGAAATACCTGTCCAACCTATTCCCGACTCTTTCACTAAATTGGTCCCCATGTCTCAGCAGCAACAATGCAGAAGTGAGGTGGATGTATCTTCTCCTGTCAATGTAGTAAATATGACAGCAACAGATTTTCCTGAACTTCAGAGATCTTCCCCTCCAAATCATCATGATCACAATAAAATTCCAGGATCAAAACACAGGTGAGAAGCTTTTGTTTATGTCTGTAGTTTTGAATGCATCAGAGCTGAAGTTATGGACTCCAAATTAACACTCTTAGGAGTGGCTTATTCCACTACTTGCTCCCAAAAGTTTTTAAGTAAAATTTAAGAACAAATTATGAGATGTATGCAAAGTGTAAAAATATTCTGGCATAATTGTTCTGTTATTGCATTTGTCTTAACAATTTAACATTCACGTTACAACTGTTGGCATCTCGGCATGATATTGTAGTGTATAGATCCTTTGCTAAACAGTGACTCTGTAAATAGACCATTGTTAAGTAACAGACACAATAGAAGAACGGTATTTTCTGTGGTTTGCACCATGGCTGTTGCTGTGCAACGGTGTGGTAAACATGTCTGTAAAACAATAGAGTGGCTGTTTTCTGCATGGCCCGTGATGAGGAATTATCTTGACAATTGTCACTACCGTCATTTGAAAGTTTCGGTGTGGAGTGTTAACCAGTGGACAACAGAGGCTGAAGAATCTCCATTGTTAAAATTCGTTATGAGGAAACATCTAGTGAAAACATTGCAGAGGAATAGCCATTGTTGAGAGCTGTTACCAGTAACAACAGTGAAAGCAGACTGAGAAAACTTAGTGTGGAAATCAGCAATAACTTTACAGTTATTTATCATAGTTATGACATGTAAGTGGTCAATAAATCTATTCACCAATCCATACCCCATATATAGTCACATACACGTGACACAGATCTCCTCCATGACTGTGAGATAGTTAATAATAGTACTGGAGATTTTTATGACATAAAGATTTTGGTGTGTTAATGCAGGATTTTTGAATCCATTATTTTGTTACTTTAATTTTATATTACATAGGGTTTCACTGTAATAGGACTGAAATAATACGTAGTGTCCAGGCAGTCACTTTCAATTCCTAGGAGATTCTATCTTTACAAAACACAGCAGGGAAGATGAACTCAGAAAGTTCATGTCAGTAAATTTCCATGTTCGGCCCCTTTGTTGCACTGCAGATGTGTAGCCAATAATTGATTTATTGACCAACCATGCCTCATCATCTCTTATGTTACTGTTTTGAAATCTTCAGTGATCTGTCATTTTAGTTCATCTGAGTTGATCACCTGTCCAGTACTCATACAAGATACCTTTGACATAAGACCACAAAGAGAAGACAAGGAGCGTCGAATCTGGTGATCTGAGATGCCAAATCTTTGGGCCACCCTTCTCCATCCTTGGCTGAGGGGACACATTATTGCATGTATCATGAACAGTGCTGCTAAAATGAAGTAGACCACACTGCACATTAATATGCAACGCAGAAACACATTGCCTTCAACTGGCAGAAACTTTCTGAGTTAACCTTCATTTCAGTGTTTTTTTTATATATAATAATATATGAAGGTTAAGAAAATCTAGCCTCCCAAACCCCAAGAGTTATATTCTTTACATTTGAATCTGTTTACCCACTAACATGAAATGTATATTGACAGTGCGCTTCTACATATTGCAGTGACACAAAGAAGATAACAAAATTATCTCAAAAGCAACGCAAGAAACTTGCAGCTGAGCAGCAGGTTGGATCTCCAGAAATGTCAACTTTTGAATCTGTACAGTCAGCACCAGCTTGGGGGAGCTTTTCTAGAAGTGACGCATCAGCCAGTGGGAACGTGTCTTTACTGGATATCATGAAGCAGGAGATGCAGCTGACGAGAACCCCCCACAGCACCACACCCATGCAGCAGCAGCAGCAGCACCAGCTAAGTACTTCACCAGGGCCTGGATCCAATCCATGGCTTCGAGGGGCAGAGGACAGCAGGAAATCACCACAGCAACACTATGAAAGTTCTGTTGTGAACTTTATGGATATAGTGGCTGATGAGAAGAAGCAGAGGGAGAACTGGAGTCGGATGAGAGCCAAACCCTTGCATTTAACTCAGGTTTATTCCCCTTTCATTTAACAATTTATGAAACTTTATGGTAGATATGATTGTCCTGCTAAGAATTTTGTGTTATGCAGTTCATGTTTTTTTATTCACTCTTTCCACACACATTTTGTGTCTTTAATCATGGAAATAATTGTACATATCTGTTTCAGTTGGAAGACAAAGCAATAGAAGACTTACTGGTATTCTACAATGCAGCTGGAGTAACAGAAGAACATATTACAGTAAAGCGTGTCATTACTGGAACTGTGGCCCCACCTACCTGGACCACTTCACACCACTAGTGTAAATGTTTGTGGGAATGCTTCTGCTACGAATTATTATACAGCACTATACAGGATTTGTTTCTATGTATTGAGTGATTACATTGTAAATCCTCATTTATCCAAAGTGGTGATAGGAAACTGTGAAGCTTTGTAGTGTGATGTAATAATGTTTAACTCAGTTATGTCTTTTTAATTTTTGTTTAAAAATTTCATTTTTCTGGAAAACCTATACTAATACAATATATTGTTTATTAAAGAAATGTATTAAAAGCAAGGTGTAGCAAAGATTAACTCTGCCAACGTTGAGAAGATGGAATGTCATTTTATGTTTATTCAAATGCAGTCATTAAGTAACTGATTTATTGATGAAGAAGGTATGAAAGTTCTTAGAAAATGATAAGGTTTTCATACATGCTGTAAATTCTCTCTCTGTATAGTGTTTAGGAAAGAAAATGTGATAAATTTGTAGCATATCATTTGTGTAAATTTCAATAGTAATCAGCATACTACAATAGAATCCAAGTTTAATGTTTCCTCTCATCCAGCATTCAGTTTCACTGTTCCCAAAACCCACGTTCACTGTAATGGGAAGTTTCAACTGCTATTCATGTTGTATACAAAAAGAAATATGTTTGCTCTGAAGTCTGATCTCTGCTATATGTAATTCTGTACTACTGTATATCTTGTTTGTTTTATATTTTATTTTTAGTCACTGGGTATTAATATGAGTTGTTGAGTTGTGGCATATATTCAAGGTTCAAACATTCACCCAACTGCCTTAGGTGAAATATTTACCAAATTCAGTGGAGGTAACACACCTAGATATATATTTTTATGTACGAGTATTATCATGACTAAATGAATGCCACTTTTCCTTGATGAGTAAGAAGTATTACCTACATGTTATTAGAAAAACACAAAATGAATTTACAGCATTAACTATTTTTCTGTTTGTCAGCTTTGATTTTTCATTCACCATGAATGGGTGAATGGACTGCATTTGAGAAATCTTGTGTAATACCTATCTCTCCATACATTCACTCTCTTTTTGTCAGTGTTGTTTCTCATAACTAGGGTGAACACTAATATGAGCTAAGTGCAAGTAAAATAAATTATATTGCTAATTTTTTTT